AGTTAACTAGATCATCATGCATTCGACCAGCTTGTTTACAAATCCATATGCAGTAGAAGTCCTACAGACAAAAAAAGAAGAACTGGTGGAAGGCATTAACAATCCGGACCATCTTCTTAACTGGTTGATAACCAATGGTATCTTTACACCAGAGAAAAAAATGGCTCTGTCGTACTACAGAACACGGATAGAAAAGAACTCGCGGGTTTTGGATATCCTGGCTTCTCAAGGTGAGCGAGCTTGCAGGCTGTTTTTTTATCCATGTTTAAAACAAGTAGAGCCAAATCTGTACAACAGTGTGAGGAGATATGTCAGTGATGTAAATGAAAGTATCGGTGATGCTAGAAGACAACTAGTAGGGTACCTACTTGAAAAGGACAAGGATTGGATTGAAAAGTCCAAAGAGCAACACAAAGAGAAGACAGATATTCCTAGACAGATAAAGAGAAAAAGGGTTATTAAAGAAAAATTTAAAGAAACACAAAGTTTGCCAGCAGCAAAAACGGAAAAGGACCATTCTGCTACTATTAGTATCTTTGGTGCAGCTGCAAAGGGTGATCTTTCTAACCTAGAGAAAATGCTGAAGGAGAATGATATTAATGCAGTCAACTCCTCATATGAAACACTCCTCCATATTGCAGCTGCTAATGGTCAGATTGCAGTAATGGAATATTTAATTAAAAAAGGTGCTAAGCTAGAAGTGAAGGATAGTCAAGGGAAAACACCACTCCACAGGGCTGCTGAAAAAGGCCACGATGATGCAGTGAAAGTGCTACTCCAAGCCGGTGCCTACATATATAGCTTAGATGAAGCAGCCAAAACTCCACTTCATTTGGCTGCACAGAACCACCACAGTCATATATTGAACAGGATCCTGAAAGAAGAGGCAAAGCTTTACAGGAACCAGCACAACTTCTTGCACATGGCAGCTCTCAAAGATGACAGCAGTTTGGCACAAATCATTTTAAAGAATGGTGCCGCAGTTGATGCAAAGGATGAGAAAGGGCAAAGTGCTTTGGGCTACGCTGTTTCCCGGGGATTTGAGAAGACTGTAAAAGTACTGCTCGAAGCTGGAGCTAGCATTGATTTCCATGTAATTGATGTAGCCTTCAATAGCAACAACCAATCCATTTTCGGAGTACTGTTAGAATATTTTAAAGGTTTGTCCCCTGACACAATGGTGTCAGCTCTTTTTAAAGCTGTTCAGAAGAACCTGCACGGCATTGTAGCAGCTTTAGTAGACAAAGGCACAGATATCAATGTCTACAACGAAACGGGGTACACGCCTTTACTCATGGCTTGTGAACTGGGTAAAACAGAGTCTGCAGAAGTGCTAATTGAAAAAGGAGCCAGCTTGAAGGAGAAGACGCCCAATTCAGACACGGCTTTACATTTAGCTGTTCAAGCTGGGGCAGTTTCCATCACTAGTCTGCTTCTAAGCAAAGGGATGAATGCTAACATCACAAGCCAGGGAGATCAAACCCCACTGCACATTGCTGCATTTCATAATAAGGAAGCACTCGTTGACATATTAATCAATGCTGGGGCCAAAATTAACGCTGTCACAAAGGAGTTAGTCACTCCTTTACATATTGCAAGCCAAAGGGGCAATGCTGATGTTGCTCAAAAACTGCTGCAGCATAAAGCCAATGTTAATGTTAAGGATAAGCAGTCAAAGACACCCTTACATCTTGCTACTGAATTAGGAGATCGTGCAATGGTGGAGTTGCTTATTAATTCCAATGCTGACATCAGTGTCACAGACAAGGAGAAGAAGACGCCTCTTCACATGGCAGCTATGGGAAATGATCTCAATATAGTTAAACTTCTCTTAGCCAAAAAAGCCAGATTTGGGGTTAAGGACATGGATGGTTGCACACCAATGCATTATGCAAGCATCAAAGGCAATGCAGAGATAGTAAAACTCCTCCTGATGGAAGGGAAGAATAAACATGTCGATGACAAAAATATCTGGAGAAAGACTCCACTGCATCTTGCAGCAGAACACGGGCACAGTGACTTGATAAATTTGTTGTTGAGCCATGGGTCAGCCATTAATGCTTTAGATAACAACAAAGATACCCCATTGCACTGTGCTTGCAAAGCCGGTCGTTTTAACTCTGTAAATTCACTTGTAAGCTGGTCTCAGGGAGAGAAAGCAAACTTACAAGCCACTAACAGCCTCGGAAAGACTCCACTGCAAGTAGCAGAATTTAACACAACTGAAAACCAAGCTCAGATTGTAACGCTTTTGAAAAAGAAAATGTTCATAACAAAATGAATTTACAGGAGATATAAATAAAACTATGTACCAGTATTTAAGTAAAAGATTATTAGTTCATACCACCTGCGTGGTAGCATATTGCTTTCTTAGTTCAATCTGTTAAATTTTATCTGTATAAAAGGCATCATACTGACAAGGGTAAGGAAAACTAAAAAGAATGCTGGGGCTCATATAATGATTGCTGAAAAAAAGAATCTATTTTTAATCTACATAGTGATGCCAACTGTCCCCATTTTATTGTATATAATAATATATTGCGCCTTTCTTGAAGCATGAGCTTTAGCAGTTATGCAAGTAAAAATTCCATCTTTTATTTTAAATCATAAGTTTCTCGCTATTGTGTTTTTGGAGAAAACCTTGAAGATGTGGATCCCACCAACTCAGAAAACCAAAATGAAAATAAGCCACATGAATTTACTACTAAAATTCCCACGAATTTTCAGACATTCATGATTTTTTTTGAGCGTGACAGTATTTTTGAATGGTTGGAATCAGCAACGCTCTACTAGAAACCACAAGTTAAAAAGTAAAAAATGTGCTTAGTGTTGATGGATAATACTCATGATTATGTTTAGCCTAATTATAAAGCTACCGTTTGGTTAAATCGTAATTGTATTAAATTTCTTCTTTAATGTTAGAAATATATAATTATAACATTAATTTCCATTTTAATTATTATGCTACTTACTTGCTGCAGTTCTCTGGAGAACTGCATAACTAATGACAATGGTCAGTTCTTCTGTAGTTTATAAGGAGTTCATCTTTCAAGACCCCCCATTCCAATATAAAGCTGGGATGGTTAGATTACCAATACTGCAATTAAACGTTTATTGGTTTAAAATAAAGTATTTCATTGGACTTCTCTCTTACATGGAGGTATTTCTATTTCTTGTGGGCTGTGAAAAATCTTATTTTTTTTAATAAAAAGACCTGATTTTTTTTCCTGATCATGATCCTTACCTTTGCAAAGTTTGACTTTGCCATCATTGGCTACATCCAGATGAGTATGACTGTGTGGTATGTGGCACTGGAGACACATCTGCAGCGCCACATACTGCATATTCAGCTGTTCTCTGCACTGCAAAGTAGCAGTGCGGGGTGGGTTTTTGACCCCCAGGGATCTCAGGGTCAAAAAAACCCGTGCAAAAAAACAAACTGCAGAGAAGCACATGTGGGGGCAGCATGCATGGCCCAAAACTGGGGCCTGGATGGCTGGAGCCACACTCTAGCTTGCCAGCCGGGCTCCAAGCAGCAGGATCGCCACTGCTGCAGCCCCAGAAGGCCCCAGGACCCCAGGTAAGGGTAGCCCAGGGTGACCTGCCTAGGGTAACCTGCCATGCTCCAGAGGGCATGTGGCACAGGCGTTCCCTGCCCTGGGGACAAGTAGCAGTGCCACAAGGACAAACATCCGCACTCATGTCGATGCGGCAATTATGTCTATTTAATTAGCACAAAGAATAGAAAGTCTCTTACAGCCCTAACAAGTCAAAGCCACCTGAAAAAAACACCTTTCAATATATTCCAAGAAATAGGGCTTGCTGCCACCAGAGCACCATAAAATCCAAATGGCTTCTCACAGTCTAACTTCTCAGCATTTTCTTATGTTACGTAATAAGTTTGGGTTCATAACATCAGCCCAAGGGGAGCAGTGTCTTTGCATGTCCTGCAGGGTAAGATTTTTGGAGGTCACTCCCCTGGGGCTGTAGTAATTCATTTGTGCTGAGCCCCGCTGGGCTCAGGGGCAGTCCCTACTGGGAAGGCTGACAGCAGGAGCGGTTTTCCATTTTTATTCGGAAGACAGTGCTGAGTCCTTCTGCAAACCAGTGGGCCACAGCTCTTCATTTCCCTATAGGCACAAGCCCGAGGGCACTGGTTTGCAACCTTTTTTGACCCAAGGCAACCCTTGACTCGGGCCTCAGCCCTTGGGGCTGGGGCACGTCTCTTTTGAGTGGAAACTGAGGGCAATGGGTTGATTTAGTTTGCAGATGAGATGACTGACGGGGGATTGAGTAGCAGCATTTCATCATGTGAAGGGCAGTTGCCAAGAGGATGGGGCTGGACGGTTCTCAGTGGTGGCAGGTGACAGAACAAGGAGCAATGGGCTCAAGCATGAACACCGCGCACCCCCAGAGGCTGGAGGGGCACGGCGACCACCTGCAGGCAGCAGCACCGACGTTGGTGGCGGTGATTGGGGAGCTCCCGTAGGCACCCGCGGCGGTGTCGGTGGCAGGGAACAGGGGGGCGAGCGCCGACCTGCAGTCAGCGACCACCTACAGATGCCGCTGGCAGTGTTAGCAGCAATGGGGGGGAGGGTGGCAATGGTGCTTTTGGCAGGCGGTGCACTGCCAAGCTCGGGGGGTGCGCATGCATGCCCTGCACATCCCCAGTGGGCTCAAGTTGTAGGAGGGGAAATTGCGGCTGGATATTGGGAAAATCTTAGGTTGACTATTGAGAAAAACTTTGGTTGGATATTGGGAAAACCTCTCACTAGGAGGGTGCTGAAGCACTGGAACAGGCTCCCTAGAGAGGCTGTCCCTGCTGCCCCCAAACTCAGAGGCAGGGCATGACATTCAGCGCCTCCCACGGCGCTAGGACCCAGCGAGGCCGTCTTCAGCGGGCAGAAAACGGGCAGCGACTTCGCTCCTTGCTTCCGCGCCTGCGCGGAGGGAACCCAAGCGGAGGGGGAGGAGTGGGCCAAGCCGCGTCCTCTCGCGAGAGCTGGCGAAGGCGGGCATCATGGCGGCCGCGGAGGAGGCGGATGTGGATGTCGAGGGGGACGCGGCGATGGCGGCTGGCGGTGGGCAGCCGGGGTGAGCGCGGGCCTGGGAGCGGGTCGGGCCAGGCTGCTGCCTCCGAGCCTGCTTCTGCGTCAACTGGCCGCGGCGTTGCCAGGTCTTAAATGGGAAACGTATCGGAGCCGTCAAAGGACCGGATTTGCTGTAAAAAACATCGTTCACTGGGGGGGGGTGCAAATGTGTGCAAATAAGTGTGCAAGTAGGTGTGATTGACTTCCTATCGCTCACTGTAAGATGCAAGTGAGTGAGGCCCAGGTTATCCACGTTATTTATTTGGAGGCAAGGGGTTGTGCTGGCGTCAGCCTCGTTGCTGTTTGGGGCCAGGAAGGGATTCGCCCCCACGGTCAGCTATGGGCTGAGGGGGGAGTTTGCCTTCCTCGGTCGCGGGCGTGGGTCAGTGCCTGGCATCTCGTGAGCCGAGACCGACAGCATTTCTCAGAAGGTGGACGTTGGTTTCCCTGCGAGCGGTTCAGGCGTTAGGTCTGTGTTGTGTCGGGGTTGCCGATGGTAGGATTATGTCCAGTTTAGGTTGGATAGGGATGATCCTGCCTTGGGCAGGGGGTTGGATTGAGGGGTCTCTTCCAGCCCCAATTCTCTAGGTTTCTTTGGTTCTCTGTGATACCCTCAAATATGGTTAATTGCTTACTGAATACAGCTTGAGTTAAGTCACTTAGAAGCATTGCGTTTCCACCAAAAGAATTGCAGGTCTCCCAGTAGAAACCACAAGAGTATTAGGCATTCGCCCAGTTTCTCCCGGAACAAGGATGGCGGCACTAGGAGAAAAACAGCCTCTCTCTGACCTGGTAGAGGTCTTTCCAGGGAGAGTTTCTCCTGGGAGAGTGAGTGCCTGGATGCTTCTCCCTTTGCTTGACTCCTCCTGGGGCTCAGGCGGAGTTGAGTGGTGGAGAAATGCTTCTCCGTGCCCTCCTAAGCCTGGGGAGGCAGGGGGAATGGCTGCTGTTTGTCTGCCCTCCCAGTCCAGGGAGGAGTTTGAGTGGTGGGGAAAAGCTCCTGTGCCTTCAGGTCAGGGTCGCCCTGATCTGGACAAGGGGAATTGGGGGAGCGGTGTAGGCTGGCAGGGAGAGGAGGTGCAGCTGCCTGCTGCTTCTTGCATCAGAGTCCTGAAGGTGAGAAGCGCTGCTTGCTCCTTGCCCATTCCTCAGACCAGCTTCCTTGGTGTGAGGAGCGTGCACGGGCTGTGCTACGCTGCTTAGTCCGTTTGGCTCCTGGGCACTGGGAACCAGGCAGAGTGAGCAGATGCTGGTCGTTCCCTGTCCTCTCCTGACACAGGGATCCTGGGTGTGAGGATCAGGTTTTGCACTGCTGCTCCAGTCCTTGTCCCCCAGGAATGGGGGACTAGAGCAGGTAACCCTGGTCTGAGAAGCACAAGGGATGGGGCAGCTGCAGATTGAGCACCTGTATTGCTTGCTTTCCTGCAAACATTTCTAGCAGTGAAAGTTTTGAATGAATGACTGTTCATGGCCTCAGCTGACTTAGCTGATGGTGTTTAACATACAGGCAGTCCTCAGACTTATGACACAATTGGTTCCTGAAAACTGCGTGGTAAGTTGAAATATTGTAACTCAGAACCCATTTTCCCATAGGAAACAATGTTATAAATAGGGGATTGGTTCCTGAACCAAGGCCCGATACCCTGTTTTCACCAAAAATACCCCAAAATTTTGTACATGATCAATTATAGATGAGTAATATAGCTACATTCATGTATTTATATTGTAAATAGCAATCATATTGATTTGGAAGGATTTCTTTGAGGTGACTTTGCTGGACTTTTTGAAGGGTTCTTGGCTGGAGTCTTCTCAGCAGTCCTGGCTGCAGGTTTTTCTGGAGTCTTGTCTGCTTTCTTAAAGAAAGTGTCCAAGGAAGTTTGGACAGATGTTCTCCAGGGAGATGGGCAACGCAGCAAACTTGTTTGCTGGTGTGGCTTGGCGTCAAATCAAGCGTAAAGTTGAAACTGATGTCAGAAAGTTGAAACAGGGTGACAATTTATAAACATTTTAAGTACGAAACGTTGTAACATGAAACATTGTAAGTTGAGGACTGCCTGTACTTAAGTAATTATTTCTGTTACTGTAAGGCTTGTTCCTTAATTCCCTAAAGCAGTGACTTTCCAACTCCTTTTGCCATGTACGTTTTATCTGCAAAACATTTGTGCTCATACCTCTGTCCCAGGTGTCTCTGTATGTTAGCTCCTTAGTTAGGAAGAGGGACATAGACATGAATACGTGGCAACACTGTTACTCACTGTTTGTACCTCGTGGCAAAGCACCTTGTACCCCAGTTTGAATACTACTGCCCTAAGTTATTGATTCTATCACAGTATGGGATATGTTATGAATAGTTTCTTGCATAAGTTATCAGCTCTGTCTCATATTAAAGACAAAAATTGAATTTTAATTCCGTATTATATTTCACTTACCGGTTTCTGTTTGGAAATTTTGGACCTTTATGAGACAGTTTTTATTTTTGTTTTACAAACGGGGAAATCAATACATGAGGGTTAAGGGAAGACATGGGCTTTTTGACATGGGCTTTTTGTGCTGTTACAGTTGAAAATAAAACTTCAGTCTTGTAACGGCCTGGAAAGTTAATGGGGGGAGGGTGGTAAAATGAAAGAAATGAGAAAAAAAAAAAAAAGAAGAATGTTAAAAAGAAATTAGAGGAATAAGTTAAAGAATGTCTCGCACAACCTGGCTAGCTGGCATGTGCTCTGCAGGCTGTTTGCATGGGGTTGCCCCCCTATGGGTGGGAATGTCACACCCCTGGGGGCTGGAGAGAAACCTGCCCTGGAGTGGCATTACTTTAAGCTGCCTAAAGTGTGGTTAAAACTAGTTTCAGGTGTTAATGTGTGGACAGTTCAGGGGTTAAGCTCCAGGAGCTGTGTAAAATTAATGTGTAACAAGGCCCTAACTCCCAAGCAATTCTTATGTCTTTGTTTATCTGTTTGTTTCACAAGTTCACTTCCACTTTTAATTTTCAGTCTCTTTCAGAAAAAAATTTTTACTTTTACTAAAACAAATTGTTTCTGGCAGTACTTTACATGTGTATTTGCAGTGAGTAGGGAGGCATGCAATTAATAAGGGCTCTGACATCTGGGAAAGTATTAAAGAGAGGCTTGTTTTCTTGGGGTTACCCTTTATGTTTAGTAAAATGTTAAAGAATGGGTCTAGAGAATATAATACTATAATACTGCATTAATTTTTGGATTCTATGTACTTCTCATGTGAATGAATACAAGCTGCATTATAATTAGGGACCTATCAAAATTGAGGAAGCAGGCAGCTGACTTTGCTGGTCAGTGTTGGGGCCAGCTGCCATTTTTGTGGGCTTATCAGCAGGGTCCTCCCATGCCTGTGGCCAATGAGTTCTGGGATCCTGCCCTCTGCTGTAGATTGGCAGGTGGCCTGCAACCGCGGCTTGATTATAGGGGTGTATCGATAAAGATTTTCTTGGCAGATATGATAGCTGATTATTAACCAACCATATTGGCCAGTGCTGATCCTATAACCAGTTTACTTTAAAATGACATAAATAAGCTTTTTGTTTTTTGCATGTTCCAGTGGCCTCCTGTGTCACATGTACTGGCACGGGGGCGCTTATAAATGGAGTAGAGCCGAATGGAGCAAGGGCGGATGCAGGTACCTGATGTGGGCTCGGGGCTCTGCTCTGCTTCCTTTGCCCCAGGAGCCGTGTACTGGCCGCGTGCACAACTCGCTGCCCCCACTGCTGCTAGGCAGGCAGGGAGCATGTAGCTGGCTCCCACGGGAAAGGCAGCAGAGACCCCTGAGCCCACAGCAAAAAGTCTGCATCTGCTCTGCGCACGAATCTGGGGGGAGCACATCTCCCTCACACAACTCCCATGAGGGGTGCGCGCAGTGGTGGAGAGCTCCGCCCTTCCCATGCCTTCTGGGCTATAGCTTCGTTCTTCCTGCCTTGGCCCTGGGTTGCAAGCAGGACCCTTTGCAGGCTAGAATGCTGCCCACCTGCAAGGGGGAGCTTGCCGTTTCCCGAGGGAACCCAGGCATCTGGGGACCCTGGCCCTGCAGGGGGGAGAGGGAACCCAGGTGTCCAGGGCCCTGGCCAGAAGGCATAATTATCAGTAAACATTATCAGCTATAATGACCAAAAAGGGTGCTAGTCCATAATGTTGTTTCCCCTTTTATCGGTGCCGAACTGATAGGCAACAGATATATGGTGTGCATGTATTTAATTACCCTGATTAAACCTGCGGAAGCCATTAATTGACCCATTATTAAGCAATCTAAGCATTCTATTAAACTTTAAACTGAAACGTCTTATGAAATTAAAGTTATAAACACCATGAAATGTAACTAATACCATTACCATACGTTATTTAATGGTGTTGTAAAAAGGAGTTTACTCAGTGCTAACCGTGAGACAGGCAATTCATGCTAGCTTTTAAAAGTTAACATGCAGCATCCACCAGCAGTCACTGCTGACATCTCTAGCTCTGCAAAGTGAACACTTGTCTCTACGTGGAGATGGCATATTCGGCATCCACTGAGTTGATTGGGATGGTGAGACAGCATTTTGCTAGGGTGTGCAGATGTGGAAACAAGTCACCGAGTCCCAAAACACTTGCAGGCATCTGGCGCTCTTTGACACAGTTTACATAAGTGGCGCATTTCTTGTCATGCTCTTTCCCCCATCCAGGGATTGATTTAATTCATTAGCTGAGGGTCATAGCTCAGAACAGGCACCTAGTTGGGGTGTCAGGTGTGAGCAGCAGTAAAAAAGGAGACAGCTGGTTGTCTGAACCATGGTGGCAGTGTTGGGTTGTACCTGTAGTACTGGTTCAGCTTTACAGCTGTTGCCTGGAACAGGTCTCTTTTCCACTGAATTTTCATGTTGACGGCTTAACAGTTCTTGTGACGCCATATCTTTGACCCGACTTATCAAATCTATCAGCTTGTTTTGTGCATGGCACATCACAACCTGCCAGCCTTCAAATCATGGTAGAAACTCTCTGAACTGGGTGGCATTTTCACCACAAACTTCACTTGATCTTGAATGGCTTCCTGTTCCAAGAGACTGCATAACTTAAGCATGCACTGTGCGCCGGGTGTGATTTCCAGCACCTCGCTCACAAAGTGGTTGTAGTACCGCATGTGCTTGTGTGGCAACAGACCATGTTGAACCACGAATTCCACCTGGTGATCTGATCACAGGCTCAGATGACAGCAAACGCAGTCGCATGTGGGTCCCCACTTTGACTGGCAAGGGAAATCCTGTCCCAGCGCTAATGGCCTGGATGGTGCTTGGAGGAGGACACCAGGCTGTCTGCATTGGGGAACTGAGTACACTAGATGCCGCTTGCTAAAGACAGGATGTGCACATTACGGGTGACGTTAATTGTTTTGGGCAGTACATCAATTCCTTGGAGCACATCAAAGAAAGCCTTGCACTTATATGTGGCATTGTTGGTCAGAAATGCTGCGATCTTGTTCAATTCTAAGCCATAGTTGATGACTGTCTTCACTACAGCCTGAGCCCTGGTAGATAAATTGACAGGTGTGAGTTGGACTGGCTCTGTTTGAAAAACAGGCAGGTAGCCTGTCTGTCCAGCTCGCAAGTACAAGTAAAATATGCAGCACATAGTTACCTTGAGGGATGGCACCTTCATTGGGCATCGTGGAGAAGGATTCATACTCTGCCAGTGGTGATTTTGGGGGCTGTATGTCTGAAGCAGTCACTGCAGGGAGACAGTTTTGCCGAAGCTTGTTCACACATGCAAAACTGCCAGCCTTTTGGACCTTTTTGGTTCAGGTAGTCCCTTAACTTAGGGCGATCAAGTTTGCCCAGCGGAATGGTTGCCACTGCAAAAGCCTCCACAAGGGAAAATGCTGCTGCTCACCTTGCCAAGCTGCTTTATGTGGTCCTTTTAAAAAGTGAGGACATGGTCACTTGTTTCTTGCTCTGACCTTCAGCCTCTGCAGCAGCCTTTCGGTTGACGTGAGCCGAGGACTCTAAGCGTCGATCTACGCTGGTTTTCAGAGGCGCGTTGTAGGCGGTATGGAACAGCCTGCTTCCATCTCTGTGCCAGGTCCCTGCAGGATATGGTCTTGCATAGTTCAGAGCTGAAATGTATTTGGCCCTTCTGGAGAATTTCTTCACACTGTTCATCCCTGCTCAATCCTCCTTGGGCTGCAGCTTGTCTCTGGGTGCTGAAAAGGTGGTGCCAAAACCCTGTTGCTTTCCTGCCTGGCCAGGGCTGGCGCCTGTACTGAGCCTGCGTCAGGCTTGGCCTCTCATTTGCTCCCCGTTACCCCCCTTTTCGCTCCTGTGCTCCAAGACTTCAGGTTCACCCCCCCTTCCTCCCCTTTCCTTTCCTTGTTGGTAACTTAATTTTTTTGTAGTGAGCCCACCAAAATTGCAAAGGCCTCTGTTTTTCACAGAAAATGCTTGATTTTGTGTTTTCTGCAAAAAAAGAAAATGCAGTATTGCCACTTTCGTAGGTCCCTAATTATAATGGTTCAAATTATAGCTCTTCTGACAAGGTACCTGATTTGAAAAAAATAATAATATTTTCATTAATAAAGATGTACATTTTTATTTTCCGATATATTTTTCCCTTTAAAAGGATTGGTATTTTTATTACAGAGATTATGGCAATACCGCTTCGGGCTTATTGCAGGATCACTACCTCGATTCATCTTGGAAAACAGATAACGGCCTCGTAAGTCATTCTTTAATGGATAGTGCCTCTTTCTGAGAGCTTTTTATAGCATCTGGGTTTCCCCTCTTCACTGTTTTTAAAATACAAATTAATATTTTTTACAGCCATGGACACTGGATAGCACCATCAGTGAGGAGAACAGGGCTGTTATTGAGAAAATGTTGCTGGAAGAAGAGTATCCTTTCATTGGCTTGTTTCTGTCTGTTCCTAGAAGGACATAGGAAAACCCACGGTTTTGCTATGTAGTAGATATATTGTGGACTGATTTTTTGGAGAGAAGGGTGTTACTGATGTTGCCTGAAGCCCTGTGATCTAGTAGTAAGATCGTGGAAGTGGTAGATGGGATACCTGAATTCTGTCATTTGGCTCCCCGCCCCGCTTGCAGCTTCATTTGACTTTAACGAGTCTTTTTTCATGTCTTTTTCCATCTTCATTGCCAAATCCACTTTAATACCTTATATGGGTGTTATGAAGATTATTTAATGTTTGTGAAATACAGTCCTTTACTCAAATGACTGAATCTAGATAATTGCAAGGCATTATTTCACGAGAATGTTTTTCCTTCCTTTTTGTGATAACGTATTTAGCAGAAGTCACAGATTTGTTGGACTCTGACAGGGCCTTGCTATGAATGCTTCTGCTGTGACCTTGCCTTAATGCCCACATCTACACCACCCCAGCCCCCAAGAGAATGCTCTGAATGGCATATTATGTTACTTAATATGATGTCTAACTTCCAGATAGTTCAGTTGTCCTGACCTTCATCAGTCTTGTGATTTATTTTTTTTCCTCTTCTTAATTCTGTCTCTTGTTTTTGATGATAAAGGTCTTGCAGTGCAAGGATACTCTACAGCTAGTTTAGCAAACACTTTACAGGCTTTTGCAATATGAGCCCTCTTAATATTGCTGACACAACTAATTTCAGCAAGCTGGTTAGGTGACTGGATTAGGAAACATGGGCTGCCTTGTTTCCCTGTCCTCTTTTTTCCTTTTGGAGTTTAGTAGTATAGAAGAAAACACAGATTTAAAGTGACAGTGTTTTTTCAGGGAAATAAATTATTCAGACTTGTATTGCAAGGTGTTTGAAAGGAGAAGAAAATTACCTTAATACAGTTTCCAAGTAAAAAGGGGAAAAAGCTACGGCGGAAACAGACTGGTTGACTTACTCAAAATCATATGAGTCTGTGGTGTAGAAAGTGAAGTAGGCATCCCTTCATTTGTTAACTCAGTATCTTGTAAAACATTCAGTATTTCAGTTCTAGTTTTGAAAGCATGACATGCAATAAATTATAAATGGATATAGTTTGACAGAATGTTTACATGTGTGTTGTTCTGTTTCGTGCATCCCAAATTTCCTTAGCAGAAATGACAGGTATTATTTGTCAAATAAATCACTTCCAGAAAAAATATGGCTTGAACAGAAGGAAGCTGAAAAAAAGTCCATGAAAAGGTGAAATCCCTTTTAGGGGAAAGTAATGGTGAAAGATGAGACTTTAGGAGAAATGTGTTGATTCTTTAATTATGAATATATTTAAATATATATGTTTCCTTAAAAGAACAAGAGTCACTACTTAACTTCTGGTTGAATTGTGTTTTATATTTTGCAGCCCACATAAGAAAACAGGAAAGGTCATGTACGTACTTTTTAATTATTGAATTGTATTTTTAAATGGTCTTTCTGATTTATGTTAAGTTGCAGTGTATGTGCAAGGTATGCACTATGAAAGGTATGTGTGTATCTCTTCTTTATCAGTCTTGTGTATCTAGCTATGTTGGATTGTTAAACAACGGTTTTATTTGTCAGACCACTTGTAGTCAAATACAAATATCTTAAACACTTTTTTTTTTTTTTGCTGTAGCACACATCCCCATCACAAAACCCCCCATTACAGTTGGGCCCATGCCTGCTTATCCCAAAATTACTGCAAGTTATTTTAATTTGGAGATGAGCGCAAGATATTTACTTGTTCTTTTAGGGCACGGTCACCTACGAAATCAGCTAGTTACTCACTGAAATGGACAATAGAAGAAAAAGAGCTGTTTGAACAAGGACTGGTAAGATAACATATTTTTGGTGTTTTGTTTTATTTCTGCACAGCTATCAGTAGGCTATCTTAATTGTTAATGTTTCTTTCATAAAAATAGTTCTGCTTAAAAACTTTAAAAAATGGATACCATGACACAGCTATTTTTGTTTAACCTTATGGCATGGTAAATCAGGCATACTTAGGCCATGGTCCGACCCTCAGACTAGTGGTAGATGCATCGTACTGTCAGGATGGCTTGGGCTGAGCACACAAGTTTTGCTGGCGCAGGATCGCTTGCAGGTTTGAAACAATAATGTCCCAGGTCTGCTGTCTTTTGTCAGGTATAGTATTACAATTGCTACACAGCAATTTAAATGAAAATATCAATTTAGTGGGAGGCAAGGATTTTTTGGGGTCGAACCTTTTATTGGACCAATTATATGGTATGAATAAAATTAGATGAGCCTGTCTAACTGTGTATTAGATCTGATGAAGGATGCCTTGCATTTGAAAGCTTGTTTAACTTTATCCCATCCGTGTATGTGGTCCAGTAAAAGATATCGCACACAAATATCTTTGCTTCTCACACAATTCCTGGACCACCATGGCTACAATGTGACTCTGACACTACCGAATTTAGTAGGACCCTGTTAATAGAAACTAGCCAATTCAAGTTTGGTGCTTTTGACACTACTGTAAGCTCTCTGAAGCTCTTTATTTTATTTCCATACAGGGCCTAGCACAATAAAGTCTCAACCTGTTCAGGCTTTTGGGCACTAATATAGTATCTGTAATAAATACACCAAGTTGTGAACTGGCCTGCTGATTTTGTGACTTACCAATACCTTAGTTACTACTTGGATGGATGACTGCCTGTTATGTTTTGACCTTTTTGCATGGTTTTGGTTGGCTGTTAAAGTGGTTCAGTAAATTGAACTTGCATTTACAGGATTAAAATGTAATTTGTCGTAACACTCTGCAAATACTGCTAATCCTGCAAATGCTTAATTAGCTTTCCTGGGATTCTTTCTGACAGTAGGCAGTCTTCTCTGTATTGTGTTCAAGAGCGATTTCCAGGTAAGGAAAGGTACTTAGTGATGCTTCAGAGAGCATAGTTTCTGGCTTTCTGGTGCCTAGGTAATAGGATTTATTTTTTCTTTTTGAATCACAAATTGCTTCTGTAAACCCATTTTCATGTATTAAATTGATACAAAATATGATAAATGTATTAAATATGATACAAAATAAGGTGACAAAAAGTGAAGGATGACAAAAATAGTGAGGGGGCTGGGGACATGATTTATGAGGAAAGACAGGGAACTGGGCGTATTTAGTTTAGAGGAGACTGAGAGGTTATTTAATAGCTGTTTTCAACTACCTGAAGGGAGGTTCAAAAGAGGATGGAGCTAGATGGTTCTCAGTGGTGGCAGATGACAAAACAAGGAGTAATGGTTTCAAGTTGCAGCAAGGGAAATTTTATGTTAGATATTAAGAAGAATTTTCTCACCAGGAGGGTAGTAAAACACTGGAATAGGTCACCTAGATAGGTGGTAGAAGCTCCATCCTTTGGGGTTTTCAAAACCCAGGTAGACAAAGCTTTTGTTGGGATGATCTGGTTGGGGCTGTTCCTGCTTTGAGCAGTTGGACTAAATGATCTCCTGAGGTCCCTTCCAACCCTAACTTTCTATGATCCTATAATGTGTTAGAAATCAGTAGTGTTTTTTACCTCTTTTGTTAAATTAGGCTAAATTTGGCAGAAGGTGGACAAAAATTGCCAAGCTGATTGGAAGTCGCACTGTTTTACAAGTGAAGAGCTATGCAAGACAGTTTTTTAAGAACAAGGTACAGTGAAATGTCTTTTTTTAGTTACCAGAAAAAGCAGTACAGCAGTATGTTTCTTTACACGTACTTGGAAAGAAAACATGAATATGTGGTATGTTATCATTACAATACCTTTACCTTGTAACCTTGCTTTTAAAAGAAAACATAAAGTGTGCTTATCTACACATTTAGGACCAAAATCTGACCTGATTTAGGTATGAATAAACAAGCAAAGTAAAAGGGGGTTAGGAGGGTCTTACCTTGTGCCAGGTGTTCTGCAGACACTTTCATTCAAGAAAAAGCCACCTCACTATAGTACCCTTCTAGCACGGAACAGCAACTGACATTCGGCCAGCTTACTATAGAACAACTTGTGCATGGTAAGTAAGCCCTTACTTCCCCCTCTTGCTTAGGATATAGGTATGGACAGACAAACAAATCAGAATTATTCAAATCTTGTTGGCAGTCCTTTTTTATAAACAATATTTTTGGCTTTACTGATGCTTGTAACTTGGGTGGATTATTTGACTGAAAACAGATTTCTCTTCAAATACTCAGAAGTTTGAACTGTCCAGTATTATTTCAGCTCTACATATCACCTGAAGTCTTAAACAACTTTTCTTAAATGCCACTTGAATTTATAATGTTGTATAAGCACCTAAAAGTCTTTAAGTTTTTACTTAAGAAAAAAAATAACTATCAGAAAGCAGTAGTCCTTTTCATCTGTATTTCATCTTTGCTATATGTTGGGGAATGCTTAATTTTTCTAAAATCCATTTATATTTTTATCAGGCAAAGATTGATGACACTGAAAAAGAGGACCAAAGTGAGTACAGCAGCACTAGCTTTCCAATAGATGATGAGAATGGAGAAAAGGCAGAGACTTGGGCCCTTACAAACCTGAGGGGCCGTGCAGACCCCAACCTAAATGCAGTGAAAATTGAAAAACTGTCTGATGATGAAGAGGTAGACATTACCGATGAAATGGATGAGCTGCTTGCTTATGCACCCCAGCAGGAACCTGAAAAGTTTAAATTAACCGATAGTCACAAGAGTCTAATTCAAGAAACTGGTGGAAGAGAACACACGTGTTCTTCTGTCTACAACTCTGCAATTCCTTTAACTGCAGAAGACCTTTTAAAGACTGAGCAAGGCAAGGTGGAAACACTGGAACTTTCAAATGTTGTGATGACTTGCTCTGAGAAGCAGAGCATAAATGGTGATGAATCTGTGAAATCAGAGTATTGGCAATTTAACAAATTTCCTGAGAGAAATGAGCAAGACCAAAGAGGAACTTTTCATGGCGGCAGGCAGTGGGCTGGTCAAGAGCTTAATGAAGAACAGAAGAACTTGGCTGATACTGAAATGCTTTTCCACTCTTCCCATCAAGTGGATGAAGAGAATCAAGAGGAAGCAGAGGAGCTTAAGCCACCAGAACAGGAAGTGGAAATTGATAGGAATGTCATCCTGGAAGAAGAGAAACAAGCTATTCCTGAATTTTTTGAGGGACGGCAGGCCAAAACTCCAGAGCGCTACTTGAAGATTAGAAATTACATTTTGGATCAGTGGTAAGATATATATATTTTGATTTCATTTTATGAAGTAAGTGATTAAGTGCTGCTTTGCTGCAGTTAGGATAGAGAGGTTGTTTGGTGTTGATGGCCCAGAATACTGCTGTGATGTTTTGGCTGTTTTCACAAGATTATGACCAGTGCTACTTGTTTCCAAGCAGATAACCCCTCATCCTTTCTGTCGTCTTGATTTTCTTACGGAGACATTTTGCAGTCAAACATTTAAAGCGTGTTCCAAACAAATGATGTTTATCCAATTGTTGTGTATTCAGTGCATTACATTAGGCAGGGAAGAGAAAACAGAGCAATATTAATCAGTGTACAACATTACAACTAGGTGATTAGGGATAGCTAGTGGGGAAGCATATGAGACTATGGGCATGTTTCTGATGCATGTTTTATGTCTTTTGAGTCCCATCCTTCAGATTTTACTCACACTGAAGCCATTCCTTACTTAGAGATCTAATACATACTAATTCTTTCCTATTCTCCTGCAGGAGACTGGAAGACTAAATTTATAGCAAGAGTGGTCTGTATTAGCAAATAATATTGAACAAAACCAAACCATTTTTTAAATTAGTTTTTTCTAAACATGGAGTAATACTCAGACACTTGATTAATTTTCCAATGCATTTGATTTGAGCCTTTTTAAGGAACCTATTTATTGCTGTGACAGGGTAATTCACCAAGTGGTTTGTCCTCCTGTGGCTTCATTTTGATTTGTAATTTTATAAGCTTTTAAAATGTTACTGTTTCCTTTCACCTTCAGTTTAGCTGCCTTATAAATTAATTATTGCCTTATGCACTAGCTCCAGGGTAACTGTAAGCTTTTGTATTTCTAAAGAAAAATGTGATAGACCTCCAATTTTAGTTTAAAAAGCAGTAAATGTTAGTGTAACAAATCAATGTGCAAGAATCTCTTCTGTTAATAAGTTGTTTGCATCAGGTAGGTAAAATAATTGGTTAATACTGAACATGACAGAATAGTTGTTTGGTTTACCAGGTTTACACATTTCACGTCAATAAATTAACCGCTTGCTGGCACTAGTAATTTTTGAGAGCTGTGTTTTATGCTATGTCTGTTTTGTATGCATGTAGTTGAATGTACCTACGGTCCAAAAACCATAATAAACTTTCACATCTGTGAAACTAACATTTCTTTGTGGATTATATGACTGGTATATTGTTGCACATACTGTACAATCTTACTTCATATGTATATTTTTGGATCAAAAATAGTATCGACTATTAGAATTGTTGGGGTGAGTGCCAAATGTGCCAAGTAGCAGGAGTGTCCTAATTATTCTGTAGAAAACAAATATACGAATATAAAGAAATGTTAAATGCCTTCAAAGGAAAGTTAAAGCATACTGTTCTTATATTTGTATTGCTTCATTTCCTTATTGTTTGAAAATGCGCTGTGCTTTGTTTCAGGGAGCGATGTAAACCCAAATACCTGAACAAAACTTCAGTACGCCCAGGCCTGAAGAACTGCGGTGATGTTAACTGTATTGGTCGAATACACACGTACCTGGAATTAATAGGAGCAATTAACTTTGGCTGTGGTAAAAAGATGATTTTACTTTTAATCTATTCAGGACTTTAGCCTTTATAAATGCTAATGTCTGTTTATAGGTTAGATAGTTTATACTTTTAGTTGAGGTGTAAAAATCAAGAGGGGGGGAAACCTCTTTTCAAAAGAATCTTTTTGTCTAAATTTACTCCTCTTGAAGGCCAGTCATTATTTATAAAGTTGATAAACTTTTGTTACTTAAACCTCAAGGCACTGTCATTCTCTGCAAGTGTTTTGGGGGCAGGGACTTTTTGCAAGTTTATGTAGGACTGCACCAAGTGGTTCTGACCTTTTTGGGCTTACACCTTTGCTGTAATATACATATCAATAGACTATTTGTTTTTGACTTGGAAATAATTGATAGATCTTCACAAAGAAAATAGGGTTTGGGGTTTTTTTTTTAATTTTTACTTTTAAGCTACCAAAATGCCTTCAGTCCTTAAATATAGATTCTGGTTATTTCTTGCCCTTTCTTATGAGTTAGGAGAAATATACCTTATTGAAATGATACTGTGTAAATTATATCTGTGGCTTACCTGATGATGGTTTAAGTGAAGTACAACATTTTGTGGGTGAACGTGATCCTTACTCCTCACCTTAGTTTGACAGTCTTTTTTTTGTGTGTGTGTGGAGGGCTCCCCTTCAGAAGTATAATACAATACATGTGTCATGGGATAGAATGTTTGATGTTGGAAAATATTAGAAAATGCACAAGTTAAAACTACCTTTTCCTCTTTAAGATTGGTCTCCTGAGACAGCGTTCTTTTGCCTGATCAAGCAAAGAGACTTTTAATTGTGATTTATATTCAGTGTGTTATATACCTTTACCAGAGAGAATTAATGACTAGATTCAAAGGTTACCGAAGCATGCTGTGTGTGTGTTTTTTGCATCCTTACAGAACAGGCTGTATATAATAGACCACAACCAGCTGATAAAACACGATCCAAAGAAGGCAAAGATACCACAGAAGCCTACCAATTAGCTCAGCGTCTGCAGTCTATGGTAAGTTAGAAATACAAAGCTACATGTGACAGTGTTAGGGTGTTTTTTGATTTCCACTTTCTATGCAAGGCATCTCTTTTTCTCTTGTGGAGTGTTGATTTGACTGTCTGAGCAGTAGTGTTGCTCTCTGAGAGAGAGATGCATGTGAAATACTGTTCTGTTATGCAGTTGGTTTCTAAAGTCCCTTATCTTTCCTGCAGGGAACCTTCAAAACCTGTGAAATTTGCAAACCTGCATTAGCTGGAAAATTATTGGAGTTTTCCATTGGCATGTTGTTAGGATGCCTAATTCATGTGCTGTATAAATTGACCACGTTTCTGTAATAATTTAGAGCTTTTACACTTATGACCAAGTATATATGAGATTTTAGAAATAACTTTATTTCTTCATTAAATAAAAAGGCTTGCAAGATATTTATGTAAAAATCGTATATTGCCATGGTTTTATATTGCTGTGCAGACAGCTTGTATATTTAATTCATTGGTAGAATAAAATTAAATCAAATCCCCTAACAATAAATGGAGCGCATGGGAAAAGAAATCCATAGCAGAGAGAGAGAGATTATCATATGCAAGGAATAGTAGTACCTTATATTGTCCACATCATTGTGTTACAACTGTGCTGCTGTCAGAATTAGGTAGGTTTTGTGGCTCTTTACTCAGATGTCACCCTGTATTTTTAAAAAGAAACATGGAAAATCCTTACTGATTTATTTCTTGACGTTTTGCCAAGCGTTGAGTATACTCCAAAGTAAAGAGCTTGTTATTCAGTGGGATTATTCTAATGTAGAACTGTACTTGAAACACTTATGAGACACTAAGTGGTGCGTTATTGTTTTATGGCTGGTTAAGTTCAGTAAAGGTCAATGTTTGGCAGAGCATAGCCTGATGCTTAACCTGGTGTTCGTTGGCTCGTTGCAGCGTACAAGACGACGGCGCGTGCGAGACCCTTGGGGAAACTGGTGTGATGCCAGGGATTTGGAAGGCCAGACTTTTGAGGTAACCCTTGTATTTTTTTAATTGTTCTGGTAGAGTTTAGTCTGAGACCAGATGGAATTTCATCAAACAGGATAGGAAACTACACTGGTGTAATAAACATTAAGATTACCTCATCTTGTGGAAGCAGTGGTTATGAAGTGGTATTGTGCCAATTCTTAGGTGGTTGGGCTGATAGCAATGACTGTACTTTTCTGTGTGAGGTGTTCATGCCACAAATGTGCACTGCCATACACTATGTTTGTGTTGTGACCTCACAGCATGCCACACACTTTTTCATTCTAGGATTTCATCAGTTTTGTTCTCAGTTGCTGAATAGTTGCTTTTCTTTTTGAGTCAGACTTGCTTTTTTTCTTTTTCTTTTTTATATCTTGTGCGGGTTTAAAAATATCAGCCATGTCTGAAGACCGTGGCTTTGTGTAATATCCTTTCATTGCAAACTGATATTAATATGTTGCACAAGAATGAGAGGGGTGGTGAGTGAGAAGCTGACCAGCTCTGCCCTTTTCCCTGGGCTTTTTTTAGCTTTAAGATAGGCTTTTATAGAAGGAAGGCTATGTGCTTTAACGTGGGGGAGAATCAACGCATTGGTGACATACCCAGGAGCCATCCGATTTATTTAGTCATTGACCCTGCCATTGAAAGACCAGGACTTCTTTTTTTATTACAGTGGATGCTTGTTAATAACATGATGGTGTCACCATATTATGTTCATAAGCAGCTGCTGGTGTTATAGGGAATGTCATCTGAACACATGGTAAGGAAAATGTTGCTAGCTAACAACCATTGCTCTTCACTGTTGGTGCAAGCAGATGTTGGCTGCAGCCTAGTAAGGCAAATCAGTTATAGGAGTGGGAGTAAAACTTAAGCCTTTTGGGTTTCCAGCCCTTTACTTATTCCCCTAGGTCAAGAATGTAGACAGACAGTTTAACTTTTAAGCAGCAGTGCTAATGCTAGCACCACCTTGAGTTGTCTTAAGATAGGGGTGGTGCTGGTCCATGAACCCACATGTCAGGATTGGGCCCTGGGGGCTTGGCACTGCTCCCTTCCCTTAAGATTGGGTTCCAAGGACCTGGTACCACTCCCTCCCACCCCCATGTACTGGGACTTTTCTCTAGAGGCTTGGCACTACCCTCTCCTGCTCCAGTGTGCTGAGATTGGGTCTAAGGCTCAGCAATACCCCTTCCTGTCCTTGGGAGTTTGGTGCCACCCCCTTCCTCCTGAGATTGGCTTCTGGGGGCCTGACACTGCCCCCTCCTGCCCCAGCATACTGGGATTGGGTCCTGGAAGTCTGATACTGCCCACACCTGACACTCTATGAAGTATTTAACTGTTCTACCAACATCATGCTGGGATCAGGCACCTAATTCAGCTTGCAGGGCCCAAGGCTCCCCGTGGAGCTGGACATTTGGCAGTGGGAGAGAGTGGTAACCAGTTTCCCACCACTGAACTTCCAGACATGTGGGGAGCCTTGTGGGCTGCATGGCACAAGCCCACAGGCCAATCTGGCCTGTGGACTGGTGGTTGAACACTCCTGTCTTAAGAGAGCCAAAACTCTAAGTTTTCCTGAGTTCAGGAGTACTTTCCAGTGCAGATGATACTAAAGTATTTAACTGTTCCTCAATATCAAAGCCAGTTTTAACTATATAGAGAAATGTCTCTTGTGCATGCATGCTCTTACTGAGCTAATCCTACAGTGAGTGCATAAACTACACGTTATCCAAGTCTTCCTGTGTTTAAAAGTATATTGTATTCAAGTTCAGAGTTTCTGAACTACTTTCTAACAGCTCAGGCTAGTTATAGATATTATTCTTATTGCAAGTTAAGCACGCAAAAAGTGCTTTACGATTGTAACAGGACAGACGTTCATGGAAAATAAAGTGCTTTAAAAATGGCAGATCCTGCTCTGAGTTAGCCCTGGATGGATGTGGTATTGGACTAAAGCGCTTTACATTAGAGCATTTTTGAACGTCTGTATCGCATCCCATCTTGAGTCAAGGTAGGTCACATTCCTCTGGCATCCCAGCGGTCCCTTGTTGGGTGGCTTGCTAGCTTTGGCCAGTACTCATCTGCTCCAGGCAAGCACTGGCGTAGCCCCACCTCCAGGCTGTCACAGAGAGGAGACAGAAAAACCTCCGTCTCCTCTTTGCACACCTGGGTGAGGGATGGGGGAACAGAGCACCTGTGCTATGTTGGCCCCTCTAGGTGGCTGGTTTTGGGGAAGGGGGAGGGCTTGTGCCAGGTCTGTGGGGCAAGAGGGCTGCCTTCCCTCATCCCCAGTTCCCAGCCCAGCTTTTTGCTGTGTTGGGTAGCCCTGTGCTGCAGCTGTCAAGAGGCTGGGGTGGGGTGGGAAGGGAGTCTGTGCTGCATGGGCCGCCCCCCCGCCCCCACTGATTGCTGACAGGGTGGCGGTGCTGGGGAGAGGGGCCACTCTGGCAGTCTTCTGGGAGGTGTGAGACCACCTCCTGAGATTGGCTTCTGGGGGCCTGACACTGCCCCCTCCTGCCCCAGCATACTGCTGGCCTCAGTCAGTATGGTCAGAAGGCTCTGGTTCCCCCTGCCCCCAACACTGAACAGCAAACCTGTTCAGTTTGCTCCCACTCTTATACCGCTTTAAGAAAAGTGCAATAGAATTTTTGCAAGGGGTTTTTTGAATGTCTGTACTTAGTCTAAATGTTTGAATGACTTTGAATGTCATATAAGACATAACATGGGAACCAAGAATTATCTTTGGACAGGCAAAATGTGAAAGTGTAATTTTTTTGCCCAGCTTATTATAGTGAAAACTGTTCTTATGACTTTAACTGTTATGTTTGCCTCGTGTATATATAAAACATGCCCGCTATTTGCTCAAACCTGGGTTAGATTAATCAATAGATGATAGGAAGCATGTATTGCATCTTCTGCTAGCTGAAGCTGTTCTAATGCCTCTGTTGCTGTTGTCACATGATATATGCTCTTTCAGTGTAGGTACAATAACAAAAGCTACAGACGTGGCATGGTGAGACTATTCTGTGTTTTGAGATACAGAAATGTGTTGAGCTAGCCTGGCAATCCTGACTGAGGCACTGTGTAATTAAGATTTTTTTTTTTTTTAGCATCTCTCTGCTGAAGAGCTAGCCAGAAGACGAGAGGAGGAGAAACTTAAACCTGCAAAGCCTTCTAAAGGATCAAGACAAATAAAAAGGTTTTTCTTTTTGGGTCTGTGTGTCTATAATACCCCTTTTGGATAAAAATAGTTTTAGTAAGCTTGCACACATTCCACAATTTAGGATGTAAATTATTACTGTGTATATAATAAAGTAATGGTTCTCAGCCTTTTTTAGACTTAAAGCACCTCTCCATAACATTTCTGAATTTAGCAGTACCCCAGATTTCAGGAGATGTGCAAGGCCAGGTCAGGAAGCCCATTAGGTTTATGTGACCCAGGATCTCGCAGCTCCCTGGGGTACTCAGGACCCCAGTTGAGACCCCCTGATATGAAGTCTGCTTTAGAGTCTAGATTTTTAAGGAAAATTTATGCTGCAAATATAAATTACAAAATTTGTCACATCATTCCTGTGTGGGAAATGAGGTTACAGTAACTAAACAGTCATTCAGGTGATGAGCAATTCCAGTAGTAAAAGAATTCAGATTATGCCAACCCATGTCAGGGAGGCAATAATATTTATATAAAGACAGTGCTGCTAACATTCCTGCCTTTTTTGAGATTTTCTTTCATTTTACAGTTCCTTTGATCCCTTTCAGCTGATACCTTGTTGTTTGTTCACTGCAGAAAAACAGGTATGTATATATTAAAGGAAAATTAAGAACATTTCTGCATTTACCTTAGCTATCTTTTATACTCATGATCACGTATATTGTTTCAGGAACCATTTCAGGTGAAAGTGGCTTCAGAAGCACTCCTAATAATGGACTTGGTAAGGATTTAGGATTGTTTACAATGAACTGTGGTGTACATTTTGGTATTTCCTAATTTTCTCCAGCTAGCTTCCTTCCCATTCCGTGCTAAAACCAATAGTTTGCTATTGAAGAAACTGGAAATTGCTGCAGGTCTTTTTACAGTTGTGTGTAGTGCTTTTGTAAATCATCTACCAGCCTGAGTGGCTGTTAGTGCCCACTCTGTTTTCAACTGAAGTCAGCTGATTCTGATCATTGACTTGCAATAAAAGCAGTGGCAAACCTTAGTCATATCCCTACTTCTCACAGTCTTCATCCTCTGTGCAGGCAGTGGCTGCAAAATAGACACCTCTTCAGCGTGTGCTGCATCCTTGGGATTGTTTTTCTGTTTGCCTTGTAATCTAGAAGTTTGATACTGGCATATTTTCTTTTATGCCAGCCAGTTCCGGTCTGCTCACTTATGACACAGTGTTTCTGTGTTTCAAAAGTGGTGATTTCTCCAAGTAGGAACATTGTGCATTGATAGATATGGTACAGCCTCATTATTACAGAGCACTCCTTACATAAACTTTCCCAATGGCAGGAACAAAGTTTTTCATTAGGACAAGCAAATTGCCTTTTGCCCTTATAGTGAACATCCTCTTCATTGATCTTTTTTTTTTTTTTCTCTCTCATGGGGTTGTATTGTATACAAAACACATGCATGCCTGAAAGATACCTTTACTTATTAGCTTTATATTACACTAGTCATTGTTCATTTTTTTTCTCAATCTTATTAAGCAACATATGTATTATAATTATAAAGAATATTTCATTATGAAAATCCAAGATAGGAGCCATTACTAAAAATGGTTAACAAGTATTATAAATAATGCTTTTTTATTGCATCTTCAGCACTCTCATGTTTCTATGGCAGAAGTAATAGGCTTGTTAGGAGGAAGATACTCTGAAGCTGATAGAATTGTTGAAGTAAGTTTTTATGGTATATTTATTTTTCATTTTATTAAAAGAATTGGTTAAATGTCTTTGTGTTTAGCAGTACCTGTCATTTTGCATCTATGCAGGAAGTAGCATCCCGCAGATTACTGAACTTAGTTTTAAAACAGATTTGAAATTCAGAAGTCAGTTATCGTAATCTTGAAATTACATGAATTTTTGAGGCAAGGATATTTTATGGTAATTTCTTTTATTGGACCAACTGTGTAGATGGGATAGCTATAATGTATATCAGAATGTCTTGCATTCAGAATCTTATCTTCTATCCCATTTATACAGTTGGTGCAATAAACAATATCACTCTAAGAAACCCTTGCCTCTTGTATAATTTCTGGATCTTTATGGCTACATCACTCTTATGCTTCTTTGCATTTTTAATTAATTTACAGAATACCTAGTTGTCTTTTTTCCTCCTCTTCCCTAAGAAATCTAGTGCTTAACACTGATTGGATTTAAATTTGCCTCTTGTTCCCGTTTATACATATGAAGATGTTGTTTACAGATTTGTGCAGCTGAACCATGCAATAGCCTAAGTACAGGACTACAGTGTGAGATGGATCCAGTATCTCAAACGCAGGCTTCAGAAACGTTGGCTGTTAGAGGATACAGTGTTATTGGGTGGTATCACTCTCACCCTGCCTTTGACCCTAATCCTTCAATCCGAGATATTGATACTCAAGCTAAATACCAGGTAGGTTTTCTGTGTGTATTTTAAAATGTATCTATTATTTAATATGCATCAATACAATAATGGACATAGCTTGCATATTTGGAAATTGTTTGGGTTGTAAACGGGTCTGTGGCTTTCAGGGCACTAGGATTATTCATTTAATTGAAGATGAGTAATGAAATGAGGGTAAATACAGGCTACATTTCTACATACGCATTATTTAATCAGTCTGCCAGATTTTTAAGGATATACCAGTGCTCCTACCTGAGAGAGAGAGAGAGAGAGAAGGAGAGAGAGGGGGCAGCCAACCATCTGTCCTCTGGATCATGGTGTATGCATACAGTCTAGCTAGGTGCCTGATGAATCTGCTTGTACACAGTCCTGCAACCATCACACCGAGACCTTTTGACACGTATGCTGAGGCAAGTGTGTGGAGGAATGGAGCCTGTCCAAGACTTACCATCTCCCCTTCAGATCATTGAGATAGCATCCGAAGGCCAGACCAAGTCCAGATGTTCGGTGCCTCAATGGTTGTAGCTTCTGCCCGAGAGCAACAGATAAGAAAAGAACTGTTGCTGACTGCCTGGTGCCTCAGCGATGGCATGTTTCTGTCAAGGTGATGTCCCTTAGCCTTTCTCCAACCTAGGAGTTACCCACAAGGCAATGAAGGCTAGGGTTTTGAGGCACCCTGTACTCACCTTGGTCTGGAGGTTGCAACATTATGGTATTTTATAGGACCTACCTACCCCACCGTGAGTGTTGCCACCAGGCCTTCCATTCAGTTTACAGTCAGACCCATGCTGTATGTGTGTGTCTAAATAAATAAAGTATTTATACTGCATTTAGAAAGTATTAAGTAGTCATTTTATTTATTTTTTTCCCTTTTTTATTTAGAGTTATTTCTCCAGAGGTGGTGCGATGTTCATTGGAATGATTATAAGTCCTTATAACAGAAATAATCCACTTCCATATTCCCAAATTACTTGTCTTGTTATTAGTGATGAGATTAGTTCAGATGGCTCCTATCGTAAGTATCTGAACCTATGCCCCTTTCTCCAGGTCTCTTAATGCTTTTGGTTTTAACATTGTATACATTTAAACTAGGGCTTGAAGTCCCTTTGATGTTTGAAGCTAGCAAATTTTCCAGATAATGGAAACCATTTAAATTATTAATTTTTTTTGTAATCTTAATTTTCATGTAAAAATGAATAGTTCAGTGCCTTTGTGGATGTGCAGAAACCTACCAAACGTAAATAGGTGTAGAGTTGTCTTCCCGACTTTGCATACTGACATCTTTAAGGGAAATGGATCGTCTACTTGGACACTTCCTGAGTACTCTGGGCAGAGTGTGGATCACTTGGTGATTCTTGATTACTCTGCTGACAGTCTCACTTGGCACAGTCCTGCCACCTTGACTTTTTTTTGAGACTTGGAGTTAAAGTACTTGTTTAGGTTGCTTGGCCTCAGTAATTCTCTTCTGTTTCTCAGGTGATTCTGTAGATAGCTTCACGTGGCAGATTGGTACAGGAAGCAATAACCTTCATCCAAAGTGTTGTTTGCTGGCCTTTTGGAAGTTTAAATATAAGCAATTTACAGAATGTTAACAATGGAGATGGAAATCCCAAACATAGATGGTTATTTTAAAGAAAAAACGACTCGTGTTAATTTAAAAATCACAAAATGTGGTACATAATATATTTTTGAAGTAATTTACAGAACTTCAGTGACTGATTCCACGTGGGTCAGTGAAAGTTCTCTAATAACTGGATGTTCTGTTTTCCACGTTTAACTCTGCTTGTAGCCTCTGTAAAGCAGGGAAAACAATTTCATTTCAAAGCCAATGAACAGAAATTGGAGATCCTCATCCATCATAAGTGTTTTAATTATGGGTTATCTTACTATTGAAAATCCACTTTGCACTGGTTTGAACATTTTTCATATCTGCAGTATTTTCAGATAGTAAATTGTAATAGTTGTCTTTTATCTTTCAAGGTGTTGACAGAAAGCAGGTGAATCAGATCATTATATTCTTATGGTTTTGAGAAGACTTGTATTTAATGACTTTTTCTTTGAAATTTACCTTCTTTTCTTTTGGACACGTGGCCTACTAATAAGTTTCCTCCATTCTCTATAGGTCACTACCTTAATTTACTCATCTTTTACATATACCCTCACTGATCTGAATATATACTTTAAAACTTAATTGTTTCTTCTGGATATTTTTAAAGGCATCATATTTCTGGTGCCTTTAAAGATATCAAGACCCATCCCTCCTAAATTTAGAGTAGTGTCACTATACTGACAATCTTACACAGCAAAAGAAACTAAATGTTGATGGTTTGGGGTTTGTGGGTTTTTTTTTTTTTTTTTTGGTTTAATACTCTCTATATATGCCACTGAGACACTGGCAAAGGTATAAGAAATATGACTTAAGTATGGGAAACTGGCAATTTAAATTATAAAGCTTACTTAGTTTTGCAGTTTTCCTTTCTCAGAAGTTTTCATTTTGTCCGTCTGTGTGGCAAGATTTAATTCAAAATAAAATATATTTGTTATAATCCATAAGTGTTCATTTTTCTGCTGAACTTGAATTTGGAGACTAAACTATTTCTTGATGTCTCTAACTTTTTAGTAGTTGCAGCAACAAGCCTAAGTAAAGAATGGACAGTCAAAAGAAAGAATATTGCTTCTAGGTTTAAACAGAGTGGTAGATGTAAAAGAAAAAAATGAAAGTCTTATTTTAATGGATTACAGGTCTCCCCTACAAGTTTGAAATACAGCAGATGTTGGATGAACCTCAGTGGGAATTAGTGTTCGAAAAAACAAGATGGATAATCGAAAAATACCGGCTCTCACATAGGTGTGTGACTGATGATAACAGAGGTGCTCAACTTACTGTCCACAGGCCAAACATAGCCCACGGAGCCTTGGATTCCAGCCTGCAGGGCTCCCGACACCTTAG